TTTTAATAAATGGAAACAAGTTTCAGATTTTAGTCATTTTTTATGTGTTCTTATTCACAACAAGAAAATTTTTTCATAGATCTCCAATTCAAAATAGTACTATGTATGTGTTCCTTTCCCTGGACCACTTAATCAAAAGAAGATAGTCCTTCTCTGTTTTAATTATAAACAAAAAAGTGACTTAGTCACCTCAGTATCATGTCCTTATTACCCAATGAGAAACAAATGTCTCAGAGGAAATCTTTTTTTTTTTTTTTTTTTTACATGCAAATTCACCATGATTCATAATCAGAGACATGCAAATTAAAACTACAATTAGATACTGTGTTACACCCACCAGACTGGCAAAAATTAGACAACTGATAACAATATAGAGTTTTGGAAAGGATATGATACAATAGAAATCCCATTTTTCTGTTGATGAGAAAATAAATTTGGGGAGGCACTATGGAATACTTGGCCATCCCTCTCGTAAATCTAATCTCTGGAGAAACTCATGCAGGTGTACCAGGAGATCTGTAGAAGTAATGTTATGGCTTCCTTCTTTGTAAAAGCCAAATGTTGGAAGCTATGCAAATGCTCCTCAGCAGGAAAAGGATGAACCCGTTCTGAAACAATCATCCAATGGAACAATGCAGGGGAGTTAAGGACCACACAGCACACATTAACAATGATGCTTCTCAAAACCCACCAATGCTGCACGAAAGAAGCAAGTCTCCAAAGAATATCTTCATGGTGACTTCACTTTCACAAAATAAAAGTAAAAACAGTAAAACTAAATAGCATGTTGCTTAGAAACATTCACGTGGTAAGCGAGGAAGCACAGGAATAGCTAGTACTACTTATAGCATCAGTTTACTGGAGAGGTGTATGTGAAAACCAACCAGTGAAAAACATAATGCTAGGGAAAATCAAGCATATTTATGGTAGACATAATCTTTATGTAAGATATAAAATTAGTAAAGTAAGTTTTACAGAACATTATGCATAGTAGATTATTTAGAATTGAATATTTTGAATCTTTGAATCAAAACATGGAAGTACAACGTATGGAGAAAATTTAGGAGGAAGACGGCACTTCCTCACATGGTACTAATTCAGTCTGAAGTTTGCTACCTTTCAAAGTCAGAATATTAGAATTAGAATTTATGGGATTACACAGTTGTTATATAAACAATTTTGTACTTAAAATTTGGAGAAGGTGATTTGTGTATCTAAATTCTGTTTTCTAGCCATCTGGATTTTATCATTATTTTTAATACTTTATTTATTATTACTATTTTATACATATGAGTGTATTTTCTGCATGTATGTAGGTGCCCCCATGTTGTGCAATGCCCATAGAGGTCAGAAGAGGGTGTTGGATGCCCTGGAACTGGAGTTGTGGACAGTCGTTAGCCACCATGTGGATGATGGGACTTGAATCCAGGACATCTGCAAGAGTAGCCAGTGATCTTGCTCCTAATCTCTGACATCTCTCCAGCCCCAATGATTTTATTTTAAAGATCTGCATGACCTCATAGAGATTTGCTTGCCTCTACCTCCTGAAAGCTGGACTTAAAGGTGTAAGGCACTATGTCTGGCATGTTTTAGGAAACTAGTAGATAGAATTTTAGTTTCTAAGTCTTTTAGGCTAAAATGATTCATACGGAAAAAAATGTATTTCTGAATCACAATACTAATCATCTTAGCCAAGACTTAAAAAGAATAAAACAGCATTGTATATTCTTTGTTAATTTGGGATAGTTGAAGGTGAATCCTTAGACTTTAGTTATTTTTTTAATAAAAGATTATCATTTGATTTTAAAATATGCTTTGTTTACTCTCCTATAATGTTATTGTGGAATTGAACCTAACATATCGTTATACCATATTTTCACAATATCTAGGGTGCAGGTAAAGAAAAATTTAGTTGACTGGGATAAATAAGCATCTGGTATGTGCCGAACCACATCAAACTCAACAGTAGGGTCTTCATTTTACCAAACCATCCTGTTAAAAACCATATGGTTAAGATAGTCCAATTTCTGGGCAATCTATTCAGAAATTGTCTAGGGAGACTTAATGGCATCAATAATTTGAACTCTATGATAATTCCACTTAAGAGATGAGTCATTATCTTGCTGAACGGGGCTCAATCCTTAGAACTGGAAGACAGTAATTACCACTGTTTGTTTGTACAACTTAATAGACACTTCTCAGCTTTTATCCCAGATAGAAATGCTTAGGTTTAACCATTAACTCTATTTTTCCACAAAGGTAAGATAAATTTTTCATCACAATTTTAGACCTGCTATCTGAAAGACATTTATACCTTAACTCAAAAGTGTGATTTTTGAAATCCCCATTATCCAGGGCCAATCATGCA